TTTAAAGAAGAAGAAGAAGAATATGATGACACAGAAATTGTGAAATCGCGTAAGAGCGAATTCTCGTCTTGAGAATTGCAGGTACGTATGATACTTTTGGTCATATGTATAGCTAGATATGGGCCCGTGAGTGACTTGTAGTGCATTTTAAAGGTATGGCTAGGCGTTCTCGCCGAGTTTTGAAGCGTTTTGTACACGGATCACGTGAGATTTGACCCACGTCATCCCTACATCAGAGCGTCGGTAGACGCTCTATGCAGGGATGCTAGATACCATGTATTGTCTTCAACAAGGACGTAATTAGATTATTGCACATGGTTGTGGTTTCATGGGCAGGCTTTGGTAATCAGGCTACAACCTGGGGGGACAAACAATGAAGGGCCATTTGACTGAGTGCCCCGCAAGGCTCCCGTAACACCGCTCAGACTCTGGCAAGTTGCTCTTCGTGCAAATCAACAGCAAGATAGACAGTTGGAAATGTGCACACTTACTTACAGAAGGTACTAGAGGCTGACAGTTCCTCTGCACGTCTGCCAGCTCGCCCGGTAGAATACGCTCGCAAGCACATTGGACAACGCCCCTTCCTGGCGCATGCGCGCGGATCACTGATGCTGAGTAAGCAGCAAATGGCGTTGTTCAGGTCGACCATGGAAGAGCTCCATGATCTACCGTAGTCACTAGCGGCAAGAAAGAAACGATCGCTTGATGTCCGTGCACACCTCCGGCGGAATTGGAGACCTTCAGTGAAAAAATCAGTGCTTGAACTGGTATATACTGGTAAGGAGATAGCGGGTTTAAAGAAGAAGAAGAAGAAGAAGAAGATGAAGAATATGATGACACGAAAATCCTGAAATCGCGTATGAGCGAATTCTCCCGAGGACGACTGAAGGTGCGTATGAGCTCTTGGGGGACATGTATAGGTAGATATGGGCCCGTAGACTATTGCTAGTATGTTTTGAAGGCCTAGGAAGTGATTCTCACTGAGTTTTTAGTCGTTTTGTACGCGGATCACGTGAGATTTCACCCGTGTCATCCCTATATAGAGAGTCTACCGACTCTCTAATAACTCCATTTGTCACTTTTACTTTAACCGTTTTCCCCGCCTCTGGAACTCACTCCCCCTTCTTATTTTATATCATTCTATCAGGTCTAAACTTTAGACACCTCAAAACTCTTCTTGTCTTCGGAAAGGTTTGCAACTAGTCTCATAAACCAGTCCCTACATCTTCATTCAGAGAAATGTTGTTGCGCCACTGTGCTATATATACATGGAGTGTATTTTATAAAATCTACAGTCACAATTTGTATAGCTATCTCCCATTAACCTCTGTGACCGGTGGAAGAGAAATGACAGCTATGGAGTAATATAAGGACGGAATGTCATCTGAACTATATAGAAAGGGAAGCCTCCAGGATATTTTCTACGCCAGAAGGTGTGATGGAAGATACTCCAGCTCCTAGTGTTAGCCCTAGCCTTTGAACTGGGCCCTAGTGTTCTTTGTGGTACACACCTGGACATAAAAACAATCAAGAGATGGCAAGGTCTTGGCCCGCCTGAACACCAGCCAGAGCCACTTCCTTTCGCAGTTACGATACTTGCTGCATGCTTGGGAATGTTGATTGTGCGTATTGCAAAGAAACACAACACACACCATACCCAGAATAGAGTAGTTATAAGCCCTCCGGCAAACACGAGCTTGAGACCGTTATCCAAATCATCAGGAACATCGTCATCAGATGTGTATTGATGTAGATTCCACCTAACACCATGCCATAACCCACAGCTGACAAGTACATGATAGAGACCACAGCTGTCTGCAAGATTGTGTTAAGAAAATACTGTGCATTTCGTCATGAATGCAAGCTGTAAAAACGGTCGTAAAAGAGCAAACCAATTGAATGAATCCTCCCACTCATTTTACCACATTTGTTAGCTCCTGAAAATCACAACCCGTAACGTGGTTATTGGTCAAGAAGCCCAAAAATAATTTCTCTTTTCACAGCTCCCTATAATAGCTACCAATGCTTTCCTGCCTGGGAGGGTTTGCACTCTAGTGCTTTTCGTTTGCCCAGTATTTTACTACAATGATTTTAGATATGGACCTCCATCTCCACCTCTTTTCTTTTAAAAGTCAGATGGTGCCATCCTACGCCATCAGTGTGTGTTCAAGGTCCAGCCACAAGATCTATACTTTAGTATCTTATGCACAAACAGAGTTTAGAACGATTCCCAGCACTATTCACATTGGTAGAAAACCTAGGCTCAAGCTTTAGGATACAATACTTCCAACAATAGAGCTGGGCAGTCCCCACAGCAACACATGAGCAATGGCCAGGAAATGTACAAATGGACCAATCATACTGCCTGCCCTGAAGGCGTAAAGGTAAGATTCCTCCACGCTTACATGATCCTCATTGTCATCCAACCTGTGGAAGAAAATGACAAACAGCAAGTATGTAAGGGTAGCTACCAGAATTTTCCCAATAATTTTTATTTTCAATTTCGATACCAATCAGATCCCACTTCTGGCAGCTCAGTGTAATCTATTGTTAGTAACTATATAACCTGTGTTTACCCTCAGCGTGTAGATGCAGTGAGGGTTATAGTTGAATGTGCTGTTGTTGATGTAGGTGTGTAGGTGTGAAGCCCTTTAGGACTCTCTCCCTCCCTCCCTCTCTCTCTCCTCTCTCCCTCTCTCTCTCTCTCTCCGTCTCTCATGTTGTGGCACTCAAGGCTATGAGGCGGCCTATGAGCAATACTAGTGGCTTCAGTTTAGACCGAGAAAACTTGCATTGCCAGCTACAAGTGGGATGCCCCAGCACATCAATTAGTGCACATCTGTAGTGCATAATACCTACAACTAGCACTGCCCTTAGTGCTATTGGTTGTTGCATAATACGTACGCATGTCAATAATGTAGCAAGGAAAGCAAACCGGTCAACTACACGGCCCTCATGGGTGGGATTTGAACCCACGACACTCTGTAGTCTACGCGAACCCTCTACCAACTGAGCTACCAGGGCAACTCAGCTGGTTGGGGTTCAAATCCAACACAATACAACACAAGACAAAGGCAAACCTCAAACCACTGTGCTATGGCACAGTATACTCTAACTCACTTTGTAGTAGCAGACCGCAGGGTAATTAAACAACCAAAGATGCCCAACTTCGAACTAGGTATTTATGCATGTCAACAATGAGTATATAGGCCTTGATAAATTTTGCATAACTTATAGCAAAATAGGTAGCTTCAAGGCATTGGGCATTATTCGAGAAAACAGGTGAGCATCTGGCATTGTGCATGTGCAATGGGAAGAGGGAAGACATGTCATCTGCCAAAGACCCACTGACTCGGTGGAAAGATCATAAGAATGCACTTCCACGGTGGGCGAGTGCATGTAAACGTGTGCTATTGTTGCAGCCGTCCTCTGCGGCAGCGGAGCGTGTGTTTTTCTATTCTCTCTAACTCTTTCAACTCACAGCAACAATCCTCATCTAGAAGATTATACAGAACTTTCTGTCATTCTACAGTATAATAATCGTCGTATATAGTAACTGAATAATTATTTTCATTGTGTAATGTAATTTGGTTCTTCGCTCATCGATCTCCTTTTTTAACTGAAGAAAATGAGTAACCTAATGAGAAAAATAGGTGAAAGCGAGAGCAAAATAGGTTTAAGAAAAGAAAAATAGATAAAATTAATAGAAAATTAATGTCCTTACAATGAGGTAGCAACATTAAAGCCGGTTATGACATCCGTATGACATCCGCGAGAAAACTTAGGCTGCTCACTTCGCTCACTAAAAATGCCATTCTAGTTCCTGCGTATGAGCATTTTGTCTGCGTGTGTTGTGAATACCTTTAGAATCCCTCCTCTCTCTTAATCTCATTTTGTTCTTACTGCATTTGTGCATGCAGTTTAGTTTTTATTGCCAAATCGACTCTAAAGCAATCTCATTTGTAATTATACCATTTTTTGTATCGTCCAAAACCAGCAGTAAACACAATCCAACCAATGAATGAGATTCCAATAAATGCCAGTGACACCTGCAGAGATAAACCATAATAGAGAACATTTCTGAACCTTATTTTTGAAGCCTCAAAATGTGACTGCTATGTAGCTATTATAGCTGACTGTGCAAGTGTAGCTAGTGTATATTCATATAGATGTTTCTCTGGCCACCCCACCAGCTACACTTTTCTCAAATGGCACCAGTAAAGGCCTGTGTGTGTGTGTGGGGACTAAAAGCCTTGTGATTATCAGTAGCCTCTTAAAATCCATTCTTATCATTCCTCCGCATCATACTAGGGACTCTCCTCTTTTTTTAGAGTGGAAGTATTACTTCTCAGGTTTGGCAAAAAAGTACCACAGAAGCCCTAAAAATCAAAAGGTACTGCTAGTAGTGAAGATTAGTTAAACTGACTCAACATGTGCGTCACCTCGTACAAAACTTCTGAATTTGTTTTTCATAATTTACGTACCTTTAATGCACCAATGAGATGTTGCCCATCTATTGGGCTATATCTTCTAGAAAATAATTATCATGACCATATTATTATACAAGTTGAAAAATGATTTCTTAAAAATGAAGGAGGATGTAGGGAGGACGTAAATTATGAGCGGATTCTCGTGTCGAGAATTGCAGTGACGTATGAAACTTAAGGGAATATTTTGGTAGATATGGCCCCGTGACTGATTTTTGGTGTATTTTGCAAGCATAGCTAGGCGTTCTCGGCGAGTTTCGAGGCGTTTAGTATACGCGGATAACACTCGTGCCATCCCTACAATGAGCGTCTATATACCGACGCTCTGATACACCAGTTTGCTTATCTATATACACATGGCAATAGGAAGACTTTGTGAGGGAGTACACGCTTGCAGTGAGTAAAAGTATGTTGATCCACAAATCGTGACTTAGGCAGTGTACGGCGGTAGCTGACCAGGTTTCTATGTGTGCTAGAGGCTGAAATCAAAAGTTTTGTACGAGTCAAAGTAGCTACATAGCTCACAATTATTCTAAAGTGCACGCATGAACAAAACAGTTAGGGCATGGCAACCCTTAGCAAGTTGCAATAGTATTGTTGATCACACCTAAATGAAGTAGCTAGATCTTTTTTATTGGGTACATACCTTTCTTGCAAATCCTTCAGCAACCCTCATAGCTGTTAAAAATTTCTGCTGGAATAAAAAAATATAGGGGAATTTTTGTGCATGATGCAAAAAGCAGCTAGCTACAAACGCTTTAGAGCAAGATTGGCATCCAAACGTGCCACTTTACGGTTTGCGCCCTGACGCGACTGACTCCGTGGCGCGTGTATTTCTTTTCTCCGCTACACTCACCCCAAGACGGTTGCCTACGCGATAGAGGCTGGTTGTTGTCCGCGGTATCTTGGGCAGCTAGCTATACTTCTCATTAATGATAGCGAATTTCCAACACGCTAAGGTCTTTTTATTATCCCTTACCATATTCCGCACTGTAAAGAAAGGACTCTGCTCTCTCCCTTTCTCTGTCTCTTCTGTTGACAAAGATGTACTTATAGTCTCTCGCAAGCGTGAGGGTCTGGTTAGCGAGACTACGTACTTTCTTGTGTGGTCATTCAAATCAACAGCACCCTGGCTTATGGCTACCGCGACGCGCTTCGACGCTCTTATAATGCCGGAAACTACGTAGGCTAAAAATTCCGGATGTGAGCGGTTACAATTTTGTGACAAACGGCATGCCATACGGACGCACGCTGTCTTATCAACAACCTCTGCATCTATATACCTAATATCAGGTGGATATAGGATATACTAAGATTGAAGGTAAGATATGGTAGAAAAGTGCCATTTTTGTTCATTAATGGCTATTTTCCACTTACCCTGCACCTACGTATGTTCCACTAGAACGAAGAGCAATGTTGCAAATAATATTCACTACATCAACTGACAAAGAGTTCACATCCTCTACTCCAGTATATACTAGTTCAGGTTGGTAAAAGCCTTTACAGTCAAGAAAAGGCTGATGTTCCATCTGAGTTATAAGAAATCTTTTAAAGTAGTATGCAGTTTTTCTGCTGGGTTGCTAGCTAGCTACTATGCAAATGGAAAGAAAAAAGAATGCAAAACCTTGCTAACAACAATGAACCAATAATAATTATTATGAGGAAATTGAAAAGAAGGGACCTACTATTGAAATGAAGAACAATGCAGAACAATGCAAAAAGTCCGCCACTTGAACACTTTCATTCCAATAAGTAATGTGTATTAGCTGTGTACTCCCAAGATATGAAGGAAAGAAAACTCAGTTCGAAAGTAAAGCCAGTATATATTTTTTTATTTTTTTTAGAATTTTTTATATGAATTTATAATCATACACAATAGCCAAAAGCTAGTACATGGTGTATGAAAATTAACAATTAAATATTTAGCCATTCCTTCAAGGATGATTTGAATGATGGGAGAGTTTCAGATGATCTTATATCAAGAGGTAGCTAACTTGTTCCAATGTGAGCAGGTATTAGGCACAAATGAGAAAGGTTGTAAAAATAGACAGCAGTATGTAGACTGAAGAGAAGAGGCTCTTGGTAAAAACACATTTGGGGGGAAATCCATCAGGTGATTTACAATTTTATACATAGTACAAAGATTGATATACTTACGACGAATGTCGAGTGACGGGATATTGCAGATAAACAACAGAGAAGTGTAATCTAGGTCCCATTGCTTTACACAGAGTCTTAAAGCAAATTTCTTTTTCAAGTTTCTTAATGTCTTTAAGTAAATAAGAATTCCAAACCTCACATGCGTATTCTAGACATGGCCGAATGAGAGATATATACAGCTGCAGAAGATTTGTAGACGATGTGTGAAGGTAGAATGTTCTGTACAGAAGACCAAGCATTTTCTTAGCTCTGGTACAAAAACCATGGATGTGTTTACTCCAGGAGAGATCAGATGTTAAAGTAACACCAAGGTATGTGTAGTGAAATACTCTAGCGATAGCCTGTCCATTTAGAAACAGAGCAGGGGGATGTATTGTATTTCTTTTCCTTGTCACAATCATAAATTTGCATTTTTCGGGGTTGAAGGTTATATGACTTGGTGTGTAAACTAATGCGCATAGTTTTGGTGACAATTGTGGCTAGTCTCTTTCCCAAACCATTTTTTTGTAAACACAAGCATTATATATATTATACACAATGCTCCACTTTCATAACGGTAGCTATACCCTGTTAACGTCAGTCTGTGATGCGGAGCAAAACATTTTCTCGAGAGGAACCATAATAAAAGCTCGAAATTCCTACGTTGAGGAGTTTAATTTTTTTATCATTAACCTCACCATTAACCTCACCATTAACAGTCTCATGTACCACCAATAGTGGAAAATCATTTCTTTAAAATGAGGGGGGATATAGAGATGGATCGATGCACCAAAAAGGAAGAGACACGTGGTCATTACCCAGAAAAGATACACAATGATTATATACATGACACCATCCCTATATCTTTGTTTTGATACAAGTGGAAAAATCATTTCTTCAAAATGAAAGGGGGATATAGGGATGGCTTGAAGCACCAAAAAGGAAGAAACAAGGGGTCATTACACAGCAAAGATGCACAAAGCTACATGACACCATCCCTATATCTTTGTCTCATATTAAACTTTACTTCAAGGTAAACTGTTGCAGAATGGAAATGACGGAGACGGCAAGCGCGGCTCTTTCCCAATTAGGGAGGAAAATGTCAGCAGGGCGAGATTGGTTGTGAACAATAACACAAAGATATAGGGATGGTGTCATGTAGCTTTGTGCATCTTTGCTGTGTCCCCTTGTTTCTTCCTTTTTGGTGCTTCAAGCCATCCCTATATCCCCCTTTCATTTTGAAGAAATGATTTTTCCACTTGTTTCCACTATTTTTCACGCCTTATGACAACACTGCATTTTCATGGGGGACAAAGAATGAAGGCGCTGTGCAAGGCCCGCGTAACACGGCGCACACTGCCAAGTTGCTCCTCGGCAAATCAACAGCAAAACGCAAGTTAGCCACTTACAAAGTGCACACTGACTTACAGAAGGCACTGGAGGATGAGAGTAGTTTTCTCTGCAGGCATCCAGTCCTGGCTTAGTCTCGTTCGTGGATCAGGCAAAATGCGCGCGCACCGCATTGGAAACGCCCTCCTCGGCGCATGCGGCTCACTGATGCTGAGTTAGCAGCAAATGGCGTTGTTCAGTGACTACCGTGGAAGAGCTCAACGATCTACCGTAGTGACTTGCGGCAAGAAACAAGCGATCGCTTGATATGCGTGCACACCTCCAGAAAATTTGGAGACGTTCTGTGAAAAAATCAACGCTTCAACTGCTTCCGGTAAGGAGCTAGCGGGTCTGAAGAAGAAGAAGAAGAAGAAGAAGAGAATATGATGATTATGATGACACGAAAATCGCGAAATCGCGTAAGAGCGAATTCTCTGGTGGGGAACTGAGGGCACGTAGGAAGTCTTGGGGCATATGTATAGCTAGGTATTGGCCTCTAGACTATTGCTAGTGATTTTAAAGCCATGGTGAGTCATTCTCGCTGAGTTTTGAGGCGTTTTGTACGGGGATCACGTGAGATTTCACTCGTGTCATCCCTATATAGAGCGTCTACCGACGCTCTGATTATTTACTTACGAATGAATAGAACAAAGATATAGGGATGGTGTCATGTAGCTATATATCCTTGTGTATCTTTGCTGGGTAATGACACCTTGTCTCTTCCTTTCTGGTGCTTCGAGCCATCTCCATATCCCCCCTCATTTGATTTTTCCACTTGTTTCCACCATTAAAGAACAGCTATGATAACACAGCCTTTTCTTATTACCGTTACTCTGATTTGCATAGGTATAATTATTGTATGGTTGATCATGGGGATGACTGAATTCTATCTTGTTGATAGCGGTAGCTAATGGCTGCTTATGCCTGAAGCAGGGGGCAGTAGACAGAGACTGTCTATTATCTCCAAGGACGTAATTAGGTTGTGCACAGGATGGTGGTTTCATTGGTAGGGTCTAGTAATCAGACTACAATGTAAGACGCATGGAAGCGTAACTATACGCGCATGCAGCACTCTGCACACAGACTCGCTCCCGTGCAAACCAACAGGTAGCTCTTTGGAAATGACTAGACCGATTTTACTTACAGAAGGCATTGGAAATTGAGAGTTCCGCATGTCTGTCAATAACCGCCTCGACAACGACAACCCCGCCAGGTGAATGCGCGCGACCTCGCGCGCGACACTGCTCGCATCAGGACAACGCCCCTTGCTCGGCGCATGTTGCTCACTGCTTGCTGAGTTAGCAGCAAATAGCGTCGTTCAGTGTCTTCCATGGAAGAGCCCACGATCTACCGCAGTGACTTGCGACAAGAAAGAAACGATCGCCTGATGTCCGTGCACACCTCCGACGAATTTGGAGACGTAGCTACAGTAAAAAAATTTGCGCTTCAACTTGTTCCAGCAAGGAGAAAGCGGGGAAGAAGAAGATGAAGAGTAATTATGATGAGACGAAAATCGTGAAATCGAATTGTCGCGGGAGTACTGAAGGTGCGTAGGAGGTATAGGTAGGTAGATATGGGCCCGTAGACTATTGCTAGTGTGTTTTGAAGGCCTAGGGAGTCATTGTCACTGAGTTTTTGGCGTTTTGTACGGGGATCACTTGAGAATTTACATAGCTAATGACTGAAGCCGAAGAAAACACCAATATAAATTTTTTATGCAAGCACCAGCAGAGCACTGTTTCTTTATGTAAATTGTGCAAAACTCACTTTTTCGCAGAAGAGTATTGGTTATTATGCTCTAGGCAGTTGTTTGCCTTGGTTCTGTCTGCTTCACGAATGTTAAGTAGTTTCGTCAACATTCAGACTGGCTGCACTAGTTGATGTCCCCACATGCACATTCCCACTAGACTTAGTGTGACGTGTATGGTGATAGGATGCAAATCACACAATCATAGTTGCCAACCGTCCCAGAATGGCCGGGACAGTCCCTGAAAAGTGGGGTTCCTCCCGGCCGTGAACCATTCATGCTTGGTGGTAAAAAACCTGTGCGATGTATTATACTATGCATGGCGTTCTCTACACTGTATGTAAACTATAATTATACTCTGTATTATACACTGTATTATTGTACAGTGTACAGAGCTCTGTATATATAGCAGACGCTAATTGGTCAAAATCAGGGCATTTTACTGTCTTAAACAACAAGACGCAAACTAATTCTATTCAATTCAAAGTACAAAGCAGAGCTACAAAGTTTCACAATAGCTGCTATATAGCGAGTCAAAAGTACATCAGAAATTGGAGTAGTCTCTAGTGGTCCTTCCATCGTCTCCATCTTTCTTGAACCATGGCCAAAAGGCAAGGTGTACAGCCTAACGATGAAAAGAAAAATGGAACAATAAATTCACCAACAGAATTGTGTGATTTTCGGCAGAGTCGGAGAGAACAACTGACTGATTGATTCTAAAAATGTGATTATAAACCTCGCAACTCTCTTTGTCTCTGCAAAGCTTGGCATAACTAGCTAGACTCATAAACCAGTCTTAGGTAAATGCCCTTTCCGGCTGGCTCATTTATATTTTAAAGGGAGTGTATGTTATGTAATAAAAGACACCCAGGACAATCCTGTGTGCTGATGCCCATGCCATTTTTACTGGGTCTAGTCTAAGTCATTTCTCAGAAACTGTTCTAATTGATGAT